CCCTTAATTTAGGGAATAATTCGATTTGACTCTCGTATTAAAATGTTCGAGGGTCCATTTTGACTATTCGATTCAATAAATAGTTAAAATCAATTAGGATTAATATTAGAGCCTCCATTTTTAGGTTTAGTCTTCTAGGTTCTTTAAATTTCAAATTTTGACACTCTATGATAGAGGATAACTTTAATTAATCCACTAGCATAATTAGGTTTTTAAATGATTTTTTTGTTTGTATCTTGGTTTTAAAATAATAAGACAATGTTTATTTATCAAGGAATTAATAGTGTATCATCCGCGTTATATTCATGGGTGACCATTAATAACCACTAAATTAAATCAACATCTTTTTCAAAACTCCATGTCATGATTTCTTAAACTTTAAGGCAATGTTTGTTTACTTAGATCAATAACAAAACTTTAGCATTAAATGTTTGAGGTAGTCATTATTGGTCTTAGTAAACCGACATCCTTTTTCAAACTTAGTATCCATAATGATTTTAAGTTGAATAAAACCTATAACTCAAAATTTTCAATTTTAAATATAGGGTAATTGATTAGGTATCAATTTCTAGGCACTATGGGGTGTTAATCATTCCTACATATAATCGACTTCTGAACCTGATTTATGGTTTTCACAGACCTAAAATTTTGGTATACTTTGATAAAATAAAATATTTTATTAAAATTACCTTATTTTAAGTGTACCAGTCACACCTTAAATGATTGGTGACGACTTCCAACATTACATAATTTTTTTAAAAAAACCTCCATCATTGTAACTTATCGGGTTTTACCCCAAGGACCCGTTGCGACATAAATACAACAATGTTTATCAGGAATCGAACATGTTAGTGCAATAAATAATACAAAACATGACTTTCGAGTCAGAATTTAACAAAGCATACTGCAAAAATAAACTCAGGACGTAAAAAACCATAAGTGTAGGGATCAACGAAAAAAGTCAATTGTCAAAGTCAACGATCAACAATCATACTAGTTTAGTTAAACTGGTTCAGTCAGATTAGTTTAGTTTAGTTAGACTGGTTCAGTCAGATTAGTTTAGTTAGACTGGTTTCGTCAGACCAAATCAACAACCTGAACCGATTGAAACTCTCTCACACAGGCAATGACGGCACGTGTGGTACTTAAAGACCCATAGCCCGAATCGAACAAAAACTTTCATAATTATATTTTAAGACAGGATGAGTCACTTACGAACGTTTCCAGAATACGGGGTGAAAGGCGAAATATGAGCATCAGACGAATCGATTGGTGTTGGTGGTGTCAACCACGGTAACCTGGACGAACCAAACAAGAAGATTTGAAATAGGCGACAGAGAGAATTAATGGCCTAAGCGGCGGTTTGAAAAAAATGGAGGGAAAAAGAAAAGAGAAAATGGAGTTTTTATTACCTTAAAAACACTTGGATAAATAACACACAAGTCCTTACACTTCTAAACATTCACAATTTGAACCCAAGCTTAATTAAAACATTCAATTTAACCCTTACGAATTTGAGATGTGACAGATTCAACACAATCGAAATAGAATTAAAAATCCAATAAATAGAACTAATCCCACCATGAAAGTAGCATTAACAATCTAAACATGCAATTTAAAAAAAAAATAGTTAAAACCTTTACAATACAATTATAAATAGCGAAGAATAGAAGTTTAAATGGGAAAAGAATTAGCACAACTAAATTCATTGCCCTACCAAATCTAAGCTATCACAGCTTTTTTCTATATGCTTAATTGTTCCTCTCTAGGCAAGCTCTGAACGGTGTCCGACCACCGTCCCGGAGAATGGTCGCTACTGTTTGACGATACATGAGCCTCAGCCCTCACATCTTTTATCATCTTCAAAACTTCCCTCATTGCAGGCCGGTTATCCGGTGCAATCACAACGCAGGCCATTGCAACGTTCAAGAGAGCTTGAAGCTTCCCTTCGGATGCTTCATTACCAGAGTTAGGCTCATCGCCGGACTCGGTCTCCTCTTCTCGGACTGTCCGTACCCATGTAGGAATATCCAATCCGTGTTCTTCAACAAGGTCCTGAAATGGAGTTTTGCCTGTTAAGAGCTCCAGGAGAAGAACACCGAAGCTGTAAACATCGGCCGGTTGAGTCGATGATTTCCGGATGTCCCTGCATTCGGGTGCCTTGTAGAAAAATGTAGCGGCACTGGGTTCTTCAATCGAGTCCGGATCTCGAAACATAGTGAGACTGTAATCCGTGAGACAAGATTCGAAATCAGGACCTAGTAACACATTAGAGGATTTCAAATTCCCGTGAGTTAAGCCTGGATTTTGGTGAATGTAAAGCAATCCAGTAGCTAAATCCTCAGCTATTTTCAGACATGATGTCCAATGAAGAGGCTTTCCACCACCACAAGTTCTCGTTCCTACAAGGAAAGCCAAAACAAAATAGGTTAAAACTTGAGGGGGCGTGTTATTATATATGTTAAAATTTGGATCTCAAACAAAACATATTCGAATATCAGTACGAAAATATAGTTCTTTAAATGTATATAAAAATAGAGTAAATTATATATCTAGTCACTCACTCATTTCTACAATTTAGTTTTGGTCACTAAACTATTTTTTTAAATCTTACCTAACGTTATATTTTTATTCTATTTTGGTCACCTACTATTAAAAAATAAAAGTAACCATTGATTTGATAATTTTTTAACTTTTTTCATTGATGACATGATAACATGTCAGTGTCATCATTAGTTTTAAACAGTAGATTATCAAAACAACACTGTTAAGTGTGACTTTGAAAAAAGAATAATTAGATGATTAAAATAAAACTATGAACACATACGAATGACTAAATACATAGTTTATCCTAAAATATTAAATATATATTATAAAAGATACATACTTATATTGAATAGAACAAGTTGGAATGTAAAATAATGCAGAGTGGGGCAACCGACAACAATAACATGCTGGAGTGGTCAGACTCAACAAGTATGAGTTGTCAAATTATCGAAATTCAGCTCAACAAGAAATTTAACTTTTTCTCCTTTAGATAAAGAAACAAATAAATTATTATGGCAAAACAGTTTAAAATAAAAACTGAATTCTGTCACCTAGTGAAAAAAGTAGTAAAAAATTAAGGATTTGAATTGAGTATTAATTTTTAAAACTAATTATGGGAAATAATTAGCAGATTTCAAATTAACCAACAATTTAGGAGACATCGGGAGTTGATAGAGTAAAATAAGAGAATAACTATTATTGCATATTATGCCCCAAAACACATGCTTTTCAACTATTTGACTTCCCGTTTATTGTTCCCAAAGTCCACGGTTCAAAAAGAAGAAAACTGCTTAAAAGAGACTAAAAAACACACTGAAACAAGAAGGGTTATAAATTATTCAAATTTAATATTTCCAAATAAATTAAATTTGAGTCTTTTATATGTTAAATTCAATTCAATATATTATTTTAATTAAATAATCTTAAAAATAAAACACATAGGAAACATAAATAATCAAATAAATGAAATTCGAGAGAGTCACCGACATACCGTGGATGAGAGAATAGAGGCTTCCGTTGGGGAAATAATCGTATACGAGCAAGCGTTCCTCTTTGGCTTGGAAATAAGCTCTGAGTGGGACCAAGTTAGGATGTCTGAGCCGTCCAATCAGATCCATGTGTCTCTTAAACTCCACTAATCTAGGATATCTGGCATCTTTCAACCTTTTGACGGTCACGATGTACCCGGATTCCATCACGGCCTTGTACGTGCTCCCCGTCGTACCCCTCCCCAATGTTTCCGCCGACGCCTTCAGCAGATCTTCTAAGCTGTAATTCATTTGCTGATCGCCAGTGCCCAAGAACATCAAACTCCCCAGACCCTCGCTCTCCCAAAACCCCCCTTGTTTCCCACTGTTATTACTTCCCATGCCACCACTCCCCCCGCCGCCGCCGCTCACCGCCTCGTCTCCCTCCATCCCTTCCACATTAGCAACCCCTTTGCTTTTAACAACATTTCCCTTTCTTCTCCTTTTGCAAGCAAAACACACCAAAAACACACAAATGAGTAGCAGAGAAAACCCGCCCGCAACGCTTCCTATCATTATCTTGAACAAACTGGAATGCTTTCTCGATTTGGGGCTCGAAACATTGGGGTAAACCGGACTCATCGCCGGCCCGATATTGACCGCCCGGCAAGGGTTTTCAATCTGTTCGCCGCAAAGATCAATGTTACCAGAAAACGAAGAAATGTTGAACCGAACCAGAGCTGAGGTCACAGGGATTTGACCCTGGAGTTGGTTGTTTGAAACGTTGAAGAATCTAAGACCGGTTTGGTTCAAAGCCGGGATTGTACCTTTGAACTCATTGTCTTGCAAGTAAAGAGTGTACAACCGTTTGAGGTTGAGTAAAGAAGCCGGAATCGGACCGGTGATTCGATTACCGGACAAAACAATGGTTTTCAACCGATGTAACCGTGTAATGGATTCTGGGAATTGGCCGGTGAAGTTGTTGTCGTTGAGAAAAAGTGATTTGAGATTGACTAAGCCGGAAAGGTCAGGGATTTGGCCGGAAATGGAGTTGCTTTTGAAACTGAGAACCCGGAGTTGATCCAAGCGGTTCAAGCTCTGTTCGTCTAAAGAACCAGTCAAGTTCAAGTGTTCCAAAACGAGTTTGGTAACTCGTCCGTTTAAGCATTCCTTGATTCCTTTCCATGCACATGCATCGGTCCCTTTCCATGGCAATGAGTTGAAAGGATCAATGGCCGATTTCAAAGCTAAAAGTGCCTCCGCATCCCCTGATCTGACCACCGCAACAAGAGAAACGAAAATGGTTAATCCTAAGTAGGGAATAAACCAGTACCTTGACACAAAAGCTTCCATTTTTTGACCCCGTGATCTTCAACTCATCGTATTTAAAACAATTGCTTTCCAAAAATAAAACATCCTAAATCACAGCCCGAACTCGGGATTTGGAGCGGCTACATTGGCATGGCAATGGCGAAGTAGGTTCTACTACTGTCCTGTCTCCAACTCGTTATTTGCAAAACTCACGGACAACGCAGCGTAATCTTCACGTGAAATCTCAGACCATAAATATTTTAATCCATTGTTTGAATTAAATAAACTTTTTTTTAAAAAGGACTAATTTTTTTTTAATTATTTTGGGCTGCTCAAACGTCGTTTACCGTTGTTGGAACTTGGGAAATCTTGGGATCCAATATTTCCCCCCATTTTCATTTGATAATTTGTTGAATGACACAGAAAGCTGGCATTTTCTTTCTCACTCTGCAAAAACCAGCAACAACCCAGAATTTGAAAATCTTCAATCAAATGATTGAAGCAACCAAAAATCTTTAAAAAAATGGAAAAGAATTTTACCCAATGCCAGATAGCATCAAAAACAGTAAGAACACCATCTTTTGTCAGATCAAAATCATTTTTTTCTTTGAAAAAAAACAAAGACTTGAGAAAGACAAAAACAGGGAAGGAGTTAAGAGGGAGAGAGAATAGATGTACCTGTGTTGAATGCAATAAGTCGATAGAGAGAGACAGCAGACTAGAGAAATGGGTGAGGGAATTGAAAGCCAATGCCGAAGAAGAGAGGCAGTAACAATGTTGAATTTCTCGTGCCATTCAAAAGATGCTTAATTGCCTGACATATGTATTATTTATTGAGATACACGTGGCGAAAGTTGTTTCATGAAAACTGAGCTTCCTCTTTTATTTATATCGTTTTTTTAATATTTTATGTTTTAAAAATAAATTAAAGTATTTATATCTTAATATTTTATAAGAATTATTAGGTTAATTTACCATAATAATAATTTTTAAACTTTTTTATTGGAATGACACTTAAACAATATTTTATTGAAGTAATATTATTTTGGTAAAGATATGTGTACGTAATAACGCATACCAAAACTGCTGTATATAATTCTTCCAACTCTACCTCCTTATATTCATCTGCATCACCATAATGTAACTTCCAACCTATGGCTGCCATATGTTCCCTAACAACTGCTAAACTAACTGTGTAAGAACAAATAAATGATATAAACCATAAAAGCAACAAAAGGATCGAAATAAATATTTTAATCCATTGTTTGAATTAAATGCCAAAACTGAGATGTAATTGCACGACTATTGAACACATATAATTTTGTTATACGGAAGACCAAATATATTTAATCAAGTTATTTATTTTTGTTTATCCATAATTTTTTAGGTTATGACTTTTAGATTTACTAAAAGCACTCTTATTCTTTCTTCTAGACTCTCTTGTTCCCCTCCCCTCAAAACAAGATTAAAATTAGATTTAAAATTTAATAAAAAATTATTATATAGAAGACATTAAAAATTTTCAAAGTCTTCTAAACACTAAAAAATCTCATTAGTTGGTATGTAATTGTTTGTATTTCTTGTGCTTAGAGACTTTTTGGTTACACATATTTATAGTTGTTGCTCTCATATATGGATTGAAAGGAATGAATTAATGGGAGTAGTCGCCTCATGAAAAATTCAAATTAGTATATATTTTTAGTATTTTTTTGTATTTTTAATTGACAATTTTTTCGTCTCTAGAATTTTGTAAGTTCTCTCATTCCTAAGATTTTAAATGTTCGTCCTCTAATTTAAAATCATATGGTAGTACCTATACTTACTCCATCAGAAACCACTTAACTCCAGTCTATAACTTTTTTTTTATTAAGCTAAAGTAATTACAAAGTAATATTTATTCTAAATATTCTCAATCATTTGACAAATGAACGTTAAATAACCCTTACTGCAGTTGCTTGAACTCAGAACCTCTAAGAATAACAACTATATCTTCGATCAATGAAATAATTTGATTCTTGCAACCTCATGTCAACTACGTCACAACAAAACTGATCACATTCACAATGTGAAAATGCCCTAAAACCATAAGGCAATAATCAAACATTCTCTCATTTGATATGTATGGCCAATTAATACCTAGCATCGAAACATAATGCACGAAAAATAACGATATTTTTATTAAATTTTTAGTAATATCTTTTATGTATTACAATATTAAACTTAATATTTATTCTAGGTCCAAACTTTAGTGACATTTTTTGAAATAATAAAACAAATGTGTACACAAATAAAAGATGAGAACATCAAACTCAATATATTTTTTATAACCATTCTTACAGTAAAATTTACAAGGTGATTATATTATTCGTAAATATGTATGATGATATGCCTCCAGTCAAAAGATCAACTAATATTTGCGTAATATTAATGTGTTGAGTGATTACTTTTCTTTAACACGTTTACTTATAGCTTGTATATACTCGGATTTTGATTCCAATATCAGAGGTGCGGGTTTCATAATAATTTGATTCCTATACCTTCGAATGTAACAAAATATTCCTTTCATTTGAAAGATCTCAAATCTCAAATATTACATAAATTCAACAGAGTTTGTAAACATATGCTGACAACTCTGATACTTTGTTTATATTAATACAATTAATCAAATTTTCCTAAAAATAAATCAAATTTGTTTGTGATGTATATATAAGTAATTACATCCTATTGCATCTTTCAACTTTGTTCTCCATCTTGTGTTAATCACAAGTTACCGGACCAATCATAATCTTGATAGATAACGTTAATTTTCTCGTCATCATCAGCCAAAAGATGTGACAAAAGCCCCGACTGTGTAGGTTCCAAGTATTTTATTACCCATTTCAGGGTTTCTTTCTGTGGTCCAAAATCTTCATTATACCTGCATATATATGTCATTAAGTTTAGTTAATTGTTGAACATTCTTTTAAATAGTATGAGTGATTATAACATAGTATCTGTAAAAAAACTATAGCCATTCATAATGCGCACACTCTGCATACATAGCTCCTTTACAACTGATGTCACTCATTGAATTCTCCTAATATTGTGGACAGTTTTGAATGTACTTAAATATAATTAAAAAAATAACAAACTTACCATTTGATTATTCGAGTTAAAAAAACGGTCCTCGTATCCATGTCGAACCCTATTGCTCCCCTCTTGAAATACTCCTTTGCAGCACATTTCAATTGATCTTCAACGCCGTCGGCTGTGAAAAACCTCACTGCAGGACTTGACCTCGTCGCATTGCATAGTCCAAAATGTATCAATGGATTCACTTTTGGCGGAACCAACTGTAATTTTAATATAAAATAAATAATAATAGAAAGTTTAAAAATTGAATCATATTAGGGTCAGGATGTTGGGGATGCTATGATATGAATACAATTCAATATTATGAGTATGATGTTTCGTTAGTACCTCTAAGCGGCGGTCGCCTTTGCTAAAGGGTCGGATGAAAGAATTGGGGGAGGTGCGATTGTGTCGAAGGGTGCCGTTGACGATAACATTGAGGGAGTAAGGGTATCCTCCGACGAGGTAGAGAAACTCGTTGAAAAAGGCTCTTTTATCCAGTATTCCTTCGGGATGTCCGATGCTAATGACGGCATGGATGGCCATGGCGTTGTGTAAGTTCAAGAAGAAGGCTAGCCTTTCATTTGGAGTGAGTAGTTTCATGTTTACCCTTTGCAGATCTCGAGCCACATTCAAGAATCTAGGAAAAATAAAATGAAATATATTATAGTGGGCTAGGGGTATTGGTGGAGTATATAAAAACGAAAAGAAAAGAAGAAGAAACCTGCGGAATTCTTCACTTTTGTCGATGGCATGATAATTAACATGGAGCCTGTCATCTGACGCGTAAGCTTCGAGAATGGCAAGCATTAACTTGGAAAGCCTATCGGCAAGGAAAGATGCAGATTTGGGCTCACAATCATTGGTTGAAATTCGATAATTGAAGCATCCCATAATATACGGCTCGTGTTCTAGGAATCTATAATAGTGGTTTCCTTCTTCAAACTCATTCTCTCTACAACACAAGATTCGACGTTAAAACATAAATTTATAGATTTTAACGAAACATTCAATTCTATGTATTTCTTCTTACCCGAAGACATGGTGGAAGAAGTGCTTATGACCCATACGCTTTGCAGTCATAATGGCCTATTTTATTTTATAAAAGGATTGATCATAAATATGTAAATGATGGAGTTTTTAATTATTAGATACAGTAATAAAAGAAAATAAATTTTTACCTTCTTCCTGCTGCAGTCCAGAAACTCGATAGTGGCTTCCAACAAATCAGCGCCGGAGAAACAATTCTTCACCATTTGCATCCTAAGCAACCGATCATGAATCGGCAAACTCCGCCTCAGGTACCTCACTGTCTCCACCAAGTCATCGTCTTCGTCTTCCTCGTCATTCACACCGTAAACAGGTACCGCTGGTGCTCCTTCAGGGCACCTATCCCCGACCAACTCCGTCAGCTTCGCCTCGTAATCCTGGCTCTCTTTCAGTTTTATCAACGCCGGCAATCCCCCCAACCACTTGTCGTTAAAGAAAATCTGGGGCGTATCCGATCTCCCGGTTCTCTCCATCAGTTCCTTCTCACGTTTGGGGAACACGTCGATGTTGATTTCGACGTACACGAGCCCTTTCTCTCTGAAGAAATGGCGGACGGCGGTGCAATCTCTGCAGTTCGATCTCGTGAAAAATGATATCCGGCCTCTTAGATCGAGGCTGAGCCGTTCGGCTTCGGTTTTCAGCTTCACTATCACTTTGACTCCCGGGATTTTGAACTCTGTCACCTCAAAGTTGAGCGAATCGTCTTTCACGAACATGTCGCTGTCGTCTTTTAGAGACGACAATCGTCTGACGATTGACGCCGAGAAACTGTTGCTCCGTTCGGTGATGTATTTGCCAATCGATGGTATTGTTTCGGCGATGGACAACGATTGCGAACGTTCACCTTTCGGCGTCGACGTGGGCGGCGGCGGCGGCGGCAGGGTTTCAGGTTTGGGGAGGTGGGCTTGTGATTTGATGGCGGGCAAGTAATGATTACATGCATTGCCGTATAATTTAGGGCTACTTATATCCTTATCATTATTATATTCTTGGATTTTGATGGAATTTGAAGTGGCTACTTCCTTTTCTTCTTTCCCTGGCATAGCCATAACCTCCTCTTTCTCTTTCTCTTGGTTGGTTTTTTCGATCTCGACGTCGACAAAGTATCCGCCATCTTTATCAACGGATACTGCGGTTGGTTCCTTTTGGCAGCCATCTTCAACAGAGGCGGACACGTCTTGAAAAACTTCGTCAACTTTGTGTTGCTCAGACGAGTCCATTTTAATTCGATTGTAAAGAAAAAAAATACACAAATCATGAAAGGAAAGAACGTGCTTATATATATTCAAAGAAGAAGGAAGATGGAGAGAGCGATGAAAACGGAAAGAGTTAATGGAAGGCAAATTAGAAGCCAATGGCAATGGTGGGCATTGTCAATAGGTTTTTGAGTTCAGTTAAAAAAGGATTATCCACTTGTTTTAAGGCTAAATCTTTGAAATATAATTATTAGAAATAGAAATGTAAAAATAAATGATTTACGTACCAAGTAAGCAGCATTCACTAAAATATAATTTTAGTGTCAAATTTATTCAATCTTTGGTCGTTTCAGCCTCGGCTGATTATCCACAAGCGAAGGCCTCACTACCTTATTGCTGCAGCATATTATATCGTTAATTTGGTTAAACAAATGGGAAACAAAAATTATGTTTATAACAATGAATTTAATGCAATCACAATACATACATAATTAATAATTCATAAAACCTTTTTAATACTTCCATTAACAATGATTATCATTCTTTTGCTCTAGGTGAGTCAATAACAGTACATACATATTACCTACACAAGAACGATCAATCATAAGCGCAATAATTATAGAAGCAAGTGATTATATTTACCTAATTAAAGTTATTATGCTTTGTGAATGTATCGAATGACTTCATTAGTTAAAGGACTATAATTTTTTTAAGATTTTGAGACCAAGTAGCCGCGTCTGTAACTGTAGGGTATATGTGTTCTGTCAGTAGTTAAAGAAAGATTATGAATAAATTATATCTTATAATCACAAACTATTAAAAAAATTGCTCGATTTTGCCTCAAATTAAAAACTATTGAAAACTTTAACCTTCCCTATGTTGGGTGTGGGTTCCCCACCATCACCTTAAAAATGGGTTGCAACTTAAAAATAGATTGTAACTTAAAATGGGGTGCAACCATAAAAAATATTGCAACTTGAAATGGACAACCATAAAATAAGTTGCAACTTAAAATGGACAACCATAAAATATGTTGCTTGTTTTGTTCTTTTTGTTTAGTAAAAAGCTTATGTCACATTTATTGTTTCATTGGACATTGGTAAAAAGCTATTATGCTTTTTGGTTTATATGTAAAATGGATGTGGAAAGAAAAAAAAGATTTGAAAAAGAAAAAAAAGATTTGAAGAGGAAAGAAGCCCACGTTTTGAGAGAAAACAAGAGGAGAAAAATAGTTTTGTGAAGTTTGCACAATAGTGATCAACTCTTCGATCGGAGGTCAGATTTTTCATCCGAATCTTGTACCGTCAAAAATACCCATTTTCAGCAGACTGCGTTTTTGGTGATGTTCTCCCATTTCTCTGTCTTTTGCTAAAGATTACTTGTTATTAGCCTTGTTGGAGTTGTATGCTTGTTGTAGGTTGGATATTGTAGTCTTGTAGTTGAACATTCAACTAATAGTGGAGCTTTTGATCGGACTCTAAAGTCGCGTGGTTTTAACCCTTTATTTAAAGGGGTTTTCCACATAAAAATTTCAATGTTTCGATTTATTATTTTTGTGGTTACATTGGTTGGTGTTGTGGTTGATTAGTGTTGATAGAGAACATATTTAATGTTATTGTGTTGGCCATAATTATTGACAGGCGTTATAGGGAGAGAAAGAACATCGGTTGTGCTTCCGCTTTGTCTCGGTTGTTCGGTTTCTTTCCTGGTAAACTGGTATCAGAGCTTTGTTATTATGTCATATAATTATGTAGATTAATACGAGCAAGATGATTATGTTGAAAGACACGAATTATCAACTTTGGTGGAATAAAATGAAAGACTTGTTGTTTGTGAATACTTTGCATCTTCCGGTCTTTTCTACTCGAAAACCAAATTCAAAAAGTAATGAGGAATGAGAATTTGAGATTCAACAAGTGTATGGCTTTATTCAACGATTTGTTGAAGAAAATATTTATAAACATATTGATTAAGAGACACATGCTTGCACATTATGGGAAAACCTTAAAAGCTTGTATGCTTCAAGGGCAGACATATAAAAACTTGTTTTTGTTGAAGAAAATGATGACATTAAAATAAAAAGAAGGAACATCTATAGCTGACCATGTTAGTGAGTTTCAAAGCGTGATGAATCAATTGCTTGATATATGTGTAAAATTTGATGAAGATATTTTAGGCCTTTGGTTGCTTGCTACTCTGCTGGACTCTTGGGAGATTTTTTCGAGTCTCGCTCATTAATTTTGCTCCACAGGGTATTGTTATTTCGGGTTCAAGGTATTGGTTTGTAACATTCCCCAAATCTGGGACAGTGACCAAATTGTAAGAATTCAAAAGTTAGTGGTTTAATTTGAATAACTTGAAAAGTTCAAGGATCTATTTTGGAAATTTTGTTTGAGACTTGATATCAAAATTGGATTATTAGAAGGGTATTATGGTCTTTTCAAATGAAAGATTTTTATATTTTCTCTTTAAGTGATATAAACACGTGGGAAAGGAGATAAAGAGTATCCGGAGTCTTCTTCAGCTTTCTTCTTCCTCTCCACCGTGGGTTTTGCATAAGGTGATTATACTTCTTTGTGATTATTCCTTTCATTTTATGGTTGATTTTGATTCTTTGGGTATTAAGAAAACTTAAGGAAACTTAAAGATAAGTAAAAACTCAAAGATTTATAAGTTATGATAGATTATGTTAAACAAGTTTTTGAGTGAATTGTTGAAAAAGAATGAGTAAATAGATTTTGAAGTTGAATTTGACTTGTCAATGGTCTAATTATGAAATAGAAGTGAATCGAGAACATGTTGGAAATTTGGTAAGATTTTTAGTTTCAAGAATTATAATGAGATATTGAAGATGATGGTGTGTTATATGGATATAAGATGGTTTAAGTATGTATAGTTGAATTTTAAAGCATGAAGAGAGTTAAATAAGTAGAGTTTGGGTAAAGTGTTGGAAATTTTTGGGTTAAATAAGCATATTTTGGGCTAATAGTATCAGTACCGGTTGAGTGAGTACCGATACTACAATGTAAAATGTGATAATTATTCTTAGGGTATCGATACTTCATGAACATTATCGATACCATAAGGTAAAACGTGGGTTAAATATTCATGGGGTATCGATACTGAAGGGGTAGCATCAATACCATTGGTATCGATACCAAATGGTAGGTATCAGTACCATTTCTTGCAATGAAATTATAGAATAAAAAATGGGTATCGATACTGTGGAAGGGTATCGATACTATAAGTATAGAGGTATCGGTACTGTGCTTGTAGTACCGATACTACCTATGTGAGAATTAAGGAATCAATGCTTTGTTTAGTTTTTATTAGCAAGAATCTTTCCGAGTATTTCAAATAATGATATTCATTGAATTGTATATTCGTGTAGATATCGATCGAATACAAGTCCAAGACGGTTCGAAGTTATAAGAGTGTGCAAGAGTAGTACGTGTTTGAATGGATTAATGAGGCCAAGTGAGTGCTTAATATTAAGTGTACGATATTCTATGGACTAAGACTTGTGATGAGTCTATTTTCCATATTAGAGTACATGAATCCATGAATACAAGCATGCACTATATATGATTCTTATGTTTCATATGTTATTGTATGTGTTACATGTGATACTATATGTCTTCCATGAGCTATGTGAATGTATGTCAGGGTAATCAACAATGTTAAATGATATAATGAAACCTTGATGATGATATGAACCTGGAATATAAGTTAGATGATTATGAGTTATGTAAATAACAATGATTTAGGTAATAACAAGAGAAAGTGATATAAGTTATATGGTAAAAATATAAAAGATTATATAAAAATGTAAAATAAATTAGGTAATGAGGATCTAGGTGTTTATATGTCTATGAGAAGATAGAAGAGCAAGTTGTAAACCATGTGATATGAATTTCATAGCTATATGTTATCGACTAAAGTAATTAGGTGAATATATGATAATAAGGTATAAGTTATATGAATTAGATCTATGTGAAATGATATAATACACTTATGTGATTAAATGAAGATTAAGATAATATAAGTAGCATTTATATATATTTATAATAATGATATGAGAATTGGATATAAGCTAGAGGATACTGAGATAAGGAATTATACTAACATGTAATATTAGTTGTATATTATATATATATAGAACCATATGAGAATATATATATAGGTAGCAAATTATGTAAATATGTGAGATAAACTATATTGTATTGAGATTCAGACTATATTAAAATATGTGTAAGAGTAACATCGTAAATTAGATAGGTTGATATGTGAACACAAGAGAATAAATGATAAGTTATATGATATCAACTATGTGATTACATGAATATGTTAATATACCTTGCTTGTATTACATGTTTTGTGATATGTTCTATAAGACAATGAATTAAGTGACCATATGAAAATGTTACATGAAACATGTGATATATGCTATGAGATATAACCCATGTGACTATATGTGAAATGATATAAGTCATGTGAATATTTGTGTGATTATGAGAATGTGTGACAAAAATAAATGATAATGCCCATGTTATGTAATATGAGATGTAGGGGTATAGTTGATATGCCAAGAGTCGAGGGTTTTATGTGGTCATTCAGGACAATTATGTGGCACTTCGGTGCAAACCTATGTGGTCATTTGGGATAATTATGTGGCACTTCGGTGCAAATTATGAGCTGTGGTGACAACATTTGTGCATAACCTCAATGCACTCACATATCTTTAGTTCTCACAAGTGTAATATGGGCTAATAAAAGTGATAATAGGAATAAACTTTGTGTGATGTTATGTGTGTTTGTTTGTGAAACGTGTTATATGCTTTGTATAGATAATAAGTTCAATAGTATATGATAAAAGTAATTATCGATAATGAAAAGAATATGAATGATGATAATGATGATGTACATGTAAGTATGCATTTCGTTATATGTAATAGTACATGATCTTATATGATATGATGATATGAAATGAGGTTAATGACGAGATAGGGGTATGCCTATATTTG